AGTGGGGATGACTCTGAAGAGGAGGTTGGGGGATAGGTAGTCAAGAGTTTACTTTAGAACTCGTTGAGCTTGAGAAACCTATTTGACAAGTGTTGAATGGGCAGTTGGCTATATGAGTTTGGAATTCAGGGAAAGGTCTGAGCTGGAGATAAAAATTTGGGAGTCACCAGTGTATAGATCATTTTATAGCCATGAGAGTGGGTGAGGTTACCTAATGGGAAGAGCGCCAATAACTGAGCCCTGGGGCAGTTCAACATTTTGAGGTCTTCAGAGATGAGAAGAAACCAGCATAAGAAATCCAGAACGGTGGCCAGAGAGATTAGGAGGAAAATCAAGATTGGGTGGTATCCTGGGAGTCAGGAGAGAAAGGGTTTCAAGAAGGAAGAAATGATCCACTGGGTCAAATACTACTGATCAAACATGGAAGTGAGGGCTGAGATTTTTCTGTTGACTTTAGCAACAGGGAGGTCATTGGTGATCTTGAGAATAGATGGAGGCCAAAGCCCTAATGGAGTGAGTCCAGTAGAGGATGGGGAGAAGGAACTAGGGACAGAGATCTGGTTAACTCTTTCAGGGATTTTTCTTACAAATGGGAGCATAAACATGGGACAGTAACTAGAGAAGGATATGGAGTCAAGGGAGGCCTTTTTTTTTTTTTTTTTTTTTTAAGATGGAAGAAACAGGGCTCCTGGCTGGTTCCAGTGGATGGAGCGTGCAACTCTTGATGTTGGGGTTGTGAGTTTGAGCCTCACGTTGGATGTAGTGAAATAAAATCTTTAAAAAAAAAAGATGGAAGAAACAAAATGATCCAGTAATGAGGGGAAAATTGATGCTTCTTGAAACTGAGAGGGGAAGTGCTAGAGGGATGTCCATGAGAGGGTAAGACTAAGAGGAAGGGGGTACACAGGGATGATTATTATATCGGGCCTAAAGGATGAAATCTCATTAAGCAGGATTCTGGTTTTTCTTCTGAGCACTTATTTGCATTTAAATTTATTTCAAACTTATTATGCTTTCTGTTAGAAGTTAGGAAGGGCAGATAAAAAGCAGTAAAACTTATTGTATATAAAATTAGTGTATCAGCTTGGTGTAGTAGAAGAGAAGAGATTGAATCTTCTGGGTAAGGTGACATTTTAAAGTGTCTTTGAATGACAATTATCTGTGCTATTCTAGTCCCTTATCAAAATTTATGATTGAGCACAGACTATAAACTTAATTGTTCGAATTTGTAGTGGGATGAATTTTAGCCTAATTTAAAACATGATCTAATGTTAAACCTTTTCTCTGCAAAATTTGTTTATTATTTAATATATGTTCTTCATACAAAGGTTTTAGGTATTTTACAAAAGGTACTTAAGTTGTTATTAATCACCTTTGATTTAGTGATGGAATTTTAAATTTTACAACCATATTAGAAATCTGAATGATTCATTTCTTTACCAGCTCTAATTAAAGCAGCTCCCTGTGAAGTTCTGGAGAGGTGAACCATCTTTAGTTTGCAAAAATTCATGGGAAGTTATCTTAGCAAGATAATATTCATCTCTAAAAGCAAAAATAATTTCATTTAGTCCAACTTATGTGTTCTGAGTGCATTTTTTTAAAAGATTTTATTTATTTATTTGACACAGAGAGAGAGTTAGGGAGAGCAGGAACACAAGCGGGGGTGTGGGAGAGGGAGAAGCAGGCTTCCCGCCGAGCGGGAAGCCCAAAGTGGGGCTCGATCCCGGGACCCTGGGATCATGACCTGAGCCGAAGGCAGACGCTTAACAACTGAGCCACCCAGGTGCCCCCTGAGTGCGTTTTTAATAATAAATCTATATTTGAAAAATTTAAGCAAATATGGTTAAAATTTTTAACTACCTTAGCTGAGTATGAAGAGTATGTGAGAAACAAATTAAGTGGACTTTCAGTCACCTTAAATCAAACTTGCATTTCAGACTTAAATACATTTTGCATATAGGTAGTGTTAAAGTACACATTTATGTATAGATCTTTCTTGCTCACTCGCTCTTACTAAATTATAGAAATAAAATCTTTTTTAAATTTTTAATCAGTTTTCAAATGGTAGTCAATTAGAAGAAACACTTTAGTAGTAGTGTTTAAAAATCACTAGTCTAAAAATAATTGACTCTTTTTTAGTATCTGAACTTCTTTGCAAAGAGGTGTGGGTCTCCTCTTCCCAGAATTCTTATATATACAGAACTTAGCATATAGTATTGTAGGGTTGGCAAACCCCTCTGAAGCCCATGCATGAGGATCCCTTAGGCATGAAGGATCTCAAGTTTTAAAACCTGCCCTATATAGCTTACGTATAATAATTTTTCTTTAAAATTTTATGTGGAGACTTTTCCAAAAATATTTTGCCAGTATTTACTGTAGTTTGTTTCTTAGAAGTGTTACTGCTGCACCTGGTTAAGAGGTGGTGAGGTCTCGTGGAAAGGCCAGCTCAGTCAAAGGAATCTCGGGGTCTGTAAGCTTTTCTCCAGCTTTACAACCAATTGGTGTGTGACTTTTGGGGAAGTCATTTAACCTCTCAGGCTTTGATTTCCTATGTGATATCTACAGTCCCTGTAAGCAGTTCTATGACTAGTTTTATGATTTCATGGTTTCACGATATCATGGTAAAATTCTTTATCAATTTGGGATTAACTCTGCTATTGATTTTTGGAGAAAATGCCCTAGAGATAAGGTGTTCATCCATTGTGTCTTTTTACTGAATTATGACTTTTCAGAAGAGTTGATGTGACTCTACTTTCTCAAATGCCATATAAATAAAAGTAAAAATCCCAATTCTATCCTGATCACTTTGAGTTTCAACATACTTCATATGTTCTGGTTATAAACCATAGTTATTCTATGTGTTGGAATTGTCATTTCCAATTCTGTGCCTTGTTTTTTCATTCTCTGAATGGTGTTTTTTTGATGAACAGAAGTTCTTAATTTAGTACAATATATCAGTCTTTTCCTTTTCATTATATTTTGAAATGGCAATATCTTCTTCTCTCATCTACTTGTTTTTATCCAAAGTCATTCATTTAACAAATAATACTGTGGGGGATTGATGCGTAAGAAATTATCACCAGCATGAGAAAGCTAACAAGAAATGTCTCATAGGGAAAATAAGTCATCAACAAAGTTAAGGGTCCGCTTAGTCAATTCATTCATTTAACAGATATTTACTGTGTGCCTGTACTGAGTGGTACAGAATCCTGTAGGTACTATCTGTAATGTTAAGAATTCACTTTTTAAAAATTGAGATATTATTGACCTGTGACATTATATTAGTTTTAGGTATACAGCATAATGATTCAATATATGTGTGTATTGCAAAATGATTACCACAGTAAGTTTAGTAAACATACATCACCACACGTAGTTACAATTTTTTTTTCCTTCTGAGAATCCACTTTTAAATAACCACATCATTTTACAGACCTTTGCATGATTTTTCTTTTGATTGGAAGTCATTCTAATCTTGGTGATTAAAATAGCCATTTATATGGACTTGAGAACTTTCAGAAGTACTGCTGCTAAAGAAAAGGCAGGATAAAACAGCAAATTGAATTTCTTTTGGAAATGAATGTTAACTGCTTGAACTGGGGCTCTTTTAAATTATTATACCGCATGTTGGGTATGACTGTACTTGATTAAATAAAAATTTATAATCTGGATGACATGAAGATTTTTTACAATATCCCTCAAAATGAGAACACTATTGAAGTAACATCAGTCAACAAACATACTATGCTTAAAACATAAGGAAGTTTTAGAGCATGGTATGTGGAGTAAATAATTTAATAGTAAAATATTAGAAAAATTTTAATTTTTGTTTCCTAATGTTTTTTAACTGAAAAAGAAGTTTGGGGTGGGGAAGAGTTAAAAATAAACAATATAGGGTGTCTGGCTGGCTCAGTCAGTAGAGCGTGTGACTCTTGCTCTCAGGGTCATGAGTTTGAGCCCCACGTTGGGTGTAGAGATTACTTAAGATCTTTTTTTTTTTTACATTATTTATTTATTTGACAGAGAGAGACACAGCAAGAGAGGGAACACAAGCAGGGGGAGTGGGAGAGGGAGAAGCAGGCCTCCTGCCGAGCAGGGAGCCCGATGTGGGGCTCAATCCCAAGACCCTGGGATCTTGACCTGAGCCAAAGGCAGAGGCTTAATGACTGAGCCACCCAGGCGCCCCTTAGAAATAAAATCTTAAAAAAAAAAAGCAAAACTAAAACAAAACAAACCCAAAAAACAAACCCATATAGCCTGACTTGACTTTTCTAACTTAGAAGTCAACTTAATGGAGTTTAGTTAATCTTAAAAAATGCAATTGATAAAAGCATCATTGAGCATTAGATTGAGATCCCCAAACCTTAATTTTCTTTCTGGCTCTATCACTGATTAAATATGTGGCAGAGAGAAAGGCATGTTTGTGTTACGTAGCTTACAGTCTTAAGTGGTGAGACTTGAAGAATGTGAATGAAAAGTTTAATTGAAATTATGATGATACAAATAAAATGCTGTGAATTTTAAAGGCTTGTATCAGACAAGTCCATTTCAAGATTAATTGAAAAAAGACCTTTTAAACAGACCAAACTCTAAGGGTCAGTGATGTAACCTTAATTTGTTAGTATAAAGCAATGAACAGTGAAGCCCGTTTGTTGGGGATGAGCCTGTATTTGTGTTATTTAGATGAGGTACATTTTATTTTTGTGTGTCTCTTAGGAAAGGGAAACTGTCAACTACTTACTTTTCCTTGTCTTGGAAAAATTGTGGAAAAGTGAAAAATGGAAAATTAGAGATTTAACTGCCTTTGGATTTTTTTCCTTGCTGTGAAAACTACCTCTTTTCCCATTTTTGGGGTAGGGTGGGGTGGTGGTTAAAAGCTTTGGAGATTTTTGTGTGTTTTGTTTTTTCTTCTTAAAGTCAGAAATCTGTAAGTCTTCAGCTTTAATGACATGTCATAAATCTTTGTAGTCTAATTCCATTTTCCCCTTCTTCTGCTGTAGGGAGCAAGAGAGCTGAAGGAGAGCCCGTTTCCCCAAAATTGGTAAGTACTTTCACGAGGCAGGTATAGTGTGCCTGATGCTAGTTGGGTAATAATTCAGATGTTCAGTGATTTTTTTTTTTTCAAAAAAGCTCTCTCCCAGAAATGAGGCTTTACTGTTTGCACTGAGTGAAAGTGAATTTTTGTCTAATTTCACGTAGGTGTATCTCAAATGCGTTTGTGTTTCTAATAATACTGCTGGGCTTGCGTGTTCCTACATTCCATAACCTGTTAAAATGTAAAGGTCCCCTTTGCCAAAAATGTTCTTAATGCAGTGGTTAGAGCTGAAAATTCTAAAGTCAGGAATTTCAAAAGTTCAGGTTCCTATTGTGTTTTGTATTACTTAATATGCTGTTAAATTTGATGGCCTTAGTGTATGTGCAAAATGGCTAGGTTAATGTAACTATGGGAACCTTGACTTTGAAATTTGGGACTCTTAAGCATTTATATCCTTAAATTTAATGCTGGATTGGCTTCATGTTTGATACTACATTTTTAGTGTGTGTTGTTTGTATAATTCTAAAAGAGGAAAAAATAAGAGAGAGAGTGAATTGTAGCAGTGTGGGGGCATATAGGCAAACATATTTTTTTCCTAATATCTACTTTAGTATCTACACTAACAGCTTATAAATCATCATACTTTAATCATTTTTTTGAATGTCTAATTCAAGATCGCAGATTGCACAGGGCAGTCTAGTGACCAAGGATCAAACAAATATTAACCTTATTTGGAGAGCATGTATTATGATAAAAAATTAAACCGGAGAGCTGGAATAGGATCATTCCTTAATACGAGGCTACTTCTTTTTGTTTTTGTTTTTTAAATTCTCTCTCTCAAATTTTAATTAATGTAGTGGCTGGAGTAGATATTTGGTTAAGGCTTCTTTTTGATAATTCACTGTCCTTGAGGTGTCTCTCTTATCTTTTAGGGATTGGGCTTTGAACATGAAAGGGGGAGGCATTTGAACCAGTTAACCTTGCATTTTACTACCTTTTTATTTTACTTGCCTTTTTTCTCATGGAGCCTTTTTAAATAAATAATCAAGACCCTATAGCCCTTTTCTTTGAGATGTAATAGAATCACAGAATCTCAGAGAAGGGACCTTAAGGGCTTTCTCTTCCAGCCTTTTACCAGTGTGGAAATTTTCTTCTCCTATATCCCTGACGGATTGGTACATATTGAATACTACACTTAAAAAAATGTAGCTCATTATTTTCTGTAATGTATTCTGAGGAATACTAGTTCCACAGAAATGAGTAAATATTATTGAGGTGGGGTGGGGGTGGGAAAAATGTTCTGTGGTCAAATAATTTGGGAAATGCTGCGTTAAAGTTAAACAGGTTTCTTTACTGCAGGACTTCTCAGAACCTTTAATATGCTAATGTGCATTGTGAATCTCCAAGAGGGGGATATGATATGCAGCATTCTTGAATACTTCTAATGACAGGGAGCCCACTACCTCATAAGGTAACCCATTCCTTTTTTGTACAGCTCTAATCCTTAGCTCTTCCTTAAATTGATCTGAAATCTATCCTCCCCTAACTTCCACTTTTATTAAGTACTTATTGGTTATGCCAAGACCACCACACCCTCTTGTGTTACCCTTTGTGTAGTAAATATTTATATGATTCTGGCCAGGCTTATCTGGACAATTTTTTGTCATTAAATAGCATTGTAGTAAATGTGGCAATCAACTCTAAAATCTCTGCCTCATTGTCACTGTGCTCTTATACAGTACTCTCCAGACTCCTTCATTCTGAATTTCTGTGAGTTTTTAAATTTACTTGCAATGTTCTTGTTGGGTATAGTTGGGCTGATTTTAGTAGATGTGCTTGATTTCTGTAAAGAAAGGTAGGAAATAGAAGAATGTGTTAGCTAGGCGTGGGCCTGGGCCCAGGGAGCTGAGGTAGAAACTACGTATCAGAATGAACATTGGTGGTAGAGAGAGAGATGCAAGACAGTGCAGCAGACCATGACAAAGAGGGTGCTGTCGCGAAACCCTGACTTGACACTGTGTTGTGATGGTATGACCTGTATAGGTATTCCTTTTCTTTTTCTAAATAAGGATCTGGCCTGTTCCCCCAAAACCAAAACAGAGAGGAGAGATACATATTTTTTATTCAGACACATTCAGACATTATTATAAATCTAATTGTGTTATGCGTATATATAAATCTAATCTAATGGTTAGGAAACATCAGTCTCACTAGCTAAGGTGATTTTTGTCAACAGCTATTAACACCAAGACTTGAGCATAGTAACCTTGCCAGTGTTGGAAGGTAGCCTCTGAAATCAGGATTGCCAAGTTCTTTGTGCAGTAGCATTTTCTGTTGACATGTGGCGTGTCACCAAAGAAATACCTCTGTGAAAATAAGAAAACAAACATTATATTTTTTATATCATTTTTATTCATGTTAGGAAATACTAGTTTTCAGTAAGTGCTACTAAAGAGCTTTATTATTAGTATCTGTGATCCTATTATCTTTATTTATTAGTATCTGTGATCATTTTTAGCACTGTTAGTTAAAAGTTAAAGATACTATTATATCTCCTAGCATTTTTGTACAAATTGAAACCTGATATTTTAGTATTTGACACATTTACAAGTAAGGACACATAGATCTGTCAAGACTTTCTACTTTTTTTTTTAACTTAATTTTAAATAATCTCTGTACCCAGTGTGGGGCTCAAACTTACATCCCCAAGATCAAGAATTGCGCGCTCCACCGACTGAGCCAGCCAGGCACTCCTCTACTTCTTTTTTTTAAAAAATTAAACCTACTCTAAACAGTATTCTGTGTAATATATAGATCAAAAGTGGAGTCTTGGGGCACCTGGCTGGCTCAGTCAATAGAGCATGAGACTTGATCTCGGGCATGAGTTCAAGCCCCACATTTGATGTGGAGTTTACTTAATTAAAAAGAAAAACAAAGACAAAAATAACTGCAGTTTTACACCAAGTAAGTATTTGGTATAGAGAACACTGAGCTGCCCATTTTTAGGGAATTCAGTCTGGGAGCACGGTGTTTTATGGACTTATTGTTAGTTAAAGAAACTTGATAGACAACTTGAGTTTTGATGGGAAAAAAGGTTTATACCAATTTAGGAACAGAGCAGTGTTTCTTAGCAGTAAATTCAGAGGTATGGCATTACTACATTATTAGAATCATAATGAAAGACCTAGAGGTCACATATCTCTAAGCACAACTCTACCCAGCAAAATAGTTAGAAGCCCCTTGCTTAGAGAATTTGAAAATAGGGAAGCCTACAGTTTTCTCAGCGATATACTGTGTTGAGAAGTTTATTAAAAAGTTGGTTTGTATGAATAGAAGAGTTAAGTGTGTTAAGAATAGCATAGAACTTTGTAATTTACAAAGGGCTTTTCGTGTAACTTCATCTCTTTTAAACCTCATAACAGTTTTATGAGTAGATGATACTGTTCCCATTTTTCTGATTTATAAGCAAACAAATTAAAAACCCTGAGGCTGAGAGTGGCTACATAGCAAGTAAATGGAATCCGTCTTTTCTTGTTTTGGGGGGGATAGTGAGTATGCTTTACAGACATCGCAGCTGTCTTTTTTTAGTGAGATTTGATTATTTTTGTTGGTTTGTGGAGTTTTTATTAGTTCCTGTTTTTGGTCTTATTTGAAGGTGAGAAGCTGCTAGGTGTTCCAGTAGTTTGATACGTACGGTTCTGAAGATAACAAATGTTGGTATCTTGTGCTAGGCAATTGCCCTCTCTGATGGTAGCATTTAGAGCTGCTGGGTGGTAAAAGGCATTGTACCTCAGTAAAGTGTGTCTATTACTGCTTTGTGAGTCTGTTTATGTTTACCTTGTAGCAACTGATTTGTTAGTTGTAACTTGCTGGAAATGGTCAAAATAGGATAAATCTTCTTACAAATTTAGCAAAAAAACCTTTTTTATGATGCTATAAACTGCCCCCAAATAGTCATCATATGACAGCTGCATAAGTTGTCTAAACCCCCAAAATATTTTTTAAAAGGATTCAACATGTGCTTGCCTTGTTTTTATAAGCTATAAATATATGTATATAATGTGCTCCTTTAGGTAGAGACCAATCTCTTAAAACTGCTATCCAGAAAGAGAACTTTTTGAAGAAGTAGGATATAAAATGAATCTTCTAATCCTTCATAAGTTTTTCTATAACAAGTCACTTTTTTAACCCTTCAGTTTTATTTTGAAATAAAATGAATAATTGGCATTTAGTCATCGCCAAATAAAATTTTGTGCCTTTCTCTGTCTCTAATAAGCAGACAACAATCTTATGAAGGAATAAAAGCTGTCAGCTCCTCATTAACTTGAGTTACAGGCTTCTTATCCTGCGAGGCACTCTTTGACATTTTAGAGCCTCCAGGTTAAATCCTGGTTTTACTTTTTCTTTTCCTGAACATTTTGTTTCATCAGTATCAAATTTTCTGAGGCTTTAGCCATCCTCAGTTAATTTTTTTTAATTTAAAAAAAGTGCATACTTTCTGTGGAAAAATGTCAAAACATCAGTACTGTGAAAAATTGAAAGTAAATAACCCTTGTGCTACCACCCAGAGATAACCAGTAGCAAATTATGAAAGTGCCACCTGACCCAAACTCTTGACAGCTCAGAGTATTCTTATTTCTACAGATCTTTGTCAGTTTGAGGGACAAAACTTATCTTCTTAAAATTTACATTTCTTTGACTATTGAAGATAGATGTTTTTCATGTTTGTTGGTCATTCTTACTCTTCTATGAGTTGCTGTTTCATATTTTTAAAATTTGTGAGCACTCTAATGTATAAATTATGTTAACCCTTTATGTGTATGTTGTAAGTTTTATATTGTAAGTTCTCCATGTTTTTACTCTGCTCTTTGTTTCCAGATTTTATATGTTGAGTTGAACTATGATGTTCTATGTTACTACCAGTAAAATCAAATACGGCTTTTTTATTGTTGAAAATACCCCTTTAACTTCAAGGTGATTCTTAATTTGACAAAAATTATAAGGAAGCATTTTTGGACATGTTTTCTGATTAGAACCTTGCAAAAATTAAAACTAATTCAACAAATTCAAGTTGAACTCTAATATATATAAGTTACAAATTCAAATAGGAAGATTATTTTAGTATTTAAAATTAAAGGGGGAGCGCCTGGCTGGTTCAGTCAGTGGAGCATGTGACTCTTGATCTTGGGGTTGTAAGATCGAACTGCCTGTTGGGTATAGAGATTACTTAAAAACAAAATCTTAGAAAAAAATAAAATTAAAGTGATACTATAGTTTTAACATTTGCTTTTTTTTTTTTTTTAAGATTTTATTTATTTATTTGACAGAGACAGAGATAGCAAGAGCAGGAACACAAGCAGCGGGAGTGGGAGAGGGAGAAGCAGGCTTCCCGCCAAGGAGGGAGCCCGATGCGGGACTGGATCCCAGGACCCTGAGATCATGACCTGAGCCAAAGGCAGACGCTTAACGACTGAGCCACCCAGGCGCCCAACATTTGCTTTTGTATTTGAGTAAACTTACATGACAACAAAAACCTCAGTAACTTCATGATTCTGATATTTAGTTATTTATTGCAGTTACATAGATTTTCTAAGATAATAAGTAGCTAAAAAACTGCTTTTGTAGTTTATCGAAACATATTTCCTTTTCCAAATGGTCTCCCCTATACATACTGCCTTTTTTTGGTTGATAGTATCATTGTATAGTAATCCTTTCCTAGCCTCCACAAATGTTAAGTTTGAAGGAATTTTTTATTTTTGAAATTTATCGTTTTTTAAGTTAGAGTGTTTTGGTATTACATAACATAGTATATAGATCCTAGGGGAGAGATAGACAGTGATGTTTCAAGTCTAGCAAGATTAAGCAAATTTAATGAAAATTAATATTCACAGGAATATATTCTATAGTTAATGATTCCATTATAACTGTTAAATAAGGTTTTAGAGAAGTTTTAAGAAAACTTAGGTTGAATATGGACTTGATCCGTAGATAAATAACTTTTGGAAAGTGTAAAGATTATGAATCTCATTGAATTGGTTTAAGGAGTAGTGGTTCTTTCAGATTCCTCATTGTTCCCTTCCTCAGTTTGTAAGAATGCTACAAAGCTGCTCTAGCTCCAGGTTTTATAGGTACAAAGAGGAGAAGGGAAAGAAGTAAAGTTTAAATGTATTTTGGCAAAAGCAAACTTTTGCTCTGGGAGGTTACCTCAAATCATGTCTAAGGCCACGTTCAAGAAGAAAGAAAAAATTTAAAAGAGAAATTAGCCATTGAATTCATTTAAATTGTGGTGATGACAGAGCAGAATAGGAAGGCTCACATTCACAAGTCTAGACTTTTGACATTATTACCACTTGCAGTTATACACACAACTAAAGGAGATGCACTGGCAGGCTTGAAGAAGATGGTGTTCATTGTCAAGATGGAAATGTCTCATCCATTGCTAGACTACCATCTCTACTATACATGAGAGGTTTATTTTTTAACATCCTGTCGTAACTTTATGCAAAGCAGAATTCGATTGCATTGTATCTGTGTAAAGTATTAATTTGTTAAATGTAAATCTTTAAATGATACGAGAATTTTCCTGTTTTTTTATTTTTAAAATAGAGTAAGAATCCATCCAGATGAAAGTACTCTGGTATTCTTTAACCTCTGAGAGACCCTGAACTTTCCAGTTCACTCTGTGTGATGTTTAAAAATGTATGACCCTGTTGTTATGTGTCTCTAAGGACAGTGTGTCCTGGATGGTTGTAGTCTTGCCCTCTAGATTCTCAGCTCATCTAAAGGAGAAGTGGTCTTGTTCAGCTCTGTATCATCAGAATGTAGTATGTATCACAATGCTGGGCATGTAAGCATGCTTAGATGTTTTCATGACTAGCTTAAACACTCCCCGCCCCCATTTCTTAACTTACTTGAAGTGTTCTGTGGAGGAATGTTCAATCAGTAAAACCCAGAAAGTTTTGGTACTAATTCGGTACAAAACTATCCATTTTGGAAAGAAATCTGTTTGGGAAATTTCTTACTCTGTGTTAGAGCATCAAATAATTTTCAACTAATGTAATTTCTTTTATTTAACACAAATATTTCCTTTATGATCCGAAACATTTTATGATCTCCACAGCTGCAGTGAGAAGAGGAGTTTGTTATTTTAAACGGAGGCTGAAGAAACTGTAGAATTAGCAGACATAAGAGAAAGTGGAGAAGGTGGAGGATGGAGTTGCAGACTCTACAGGAGGCTCTTAAAGTGGAAATTCAGGTTCACCAGGTATGTTCCATTATTGGCTTCTCTGTGTTGTGTTATTAAGTAATGGCTAAGATTAGTAAACTGTCCCGTCTCTGAATTTCAGTACACTTTCTAATTGTCTTTCAGACAGTTGTCAGAGAGTCATGCCATTTGCCTTTTATTGCTATGTAACAAACTCACTGACAATACTTATACGAACTTTAATAAAATATTCCTGACTTCCTTTCCAGAGAAAAGAATGGAAAATATTTTTTCATATACTAAAGGTGTTAAAAAAAAAACCCAAACTCTTTTTTTCCTTTTTTGGGTTAATCTGAAGAACTTTGTTCATGTGACTTAACTTGTATATTTTAAGTAATGAGACATGTTTAAGTTGACTACCATTTATACTGAAGTTTTTACACATAACTCAGCTTTATGCCTTGATTCCAATCTTTAGTAAAGAAAACATCACTGCCAGAGCGCCTGGGTGGCTGGTCAGTTAAGTCTCTGACTCTTGATTTCGGCTTAGGTCATGATCTGAGGGTCATGAGATCTAGCCCCTGTTGGGCTCCACCGTCAGCATGAAGTCTGCTTGGGATTCTCTCTCTCCCTCTCTTACTGCACCCCCCCCCCCCCTTGCACATTCTCTCTCTCTCTTAAATAAATAGATCTAAAAAAAAAAACAAAAACATCACTGCCTTCGCAGATGTTTAAATTTCAGATAATCACAATTCTTAAAATTTACCTCAGGTACATAGGCTGAAAAATGTTAATAATTGTTTATATAATATCAATAAAATATTAAATATCTATATTTTATATGTATAATATATCTTATTTAATATAACTCTAATCCTGAAATGAAGCTGTCCTTAAGTAACTGGATCATTAACATATATCTTGTAAACAGAATTATCACTGTTTCTGTCCCCTTTCTAGACATTAGCTGGATGTGGTCCCAGGTTCAAGATAAACACATACACACATACAATCAGAAGTGATAAATGATGATGAATTGACTACTTTTGAATGTTTGGGGTGGAGAAGTAAAAAAGAAAAGGAAACAAGTTTCCCTTGTTTTATATGAGTAGTTTAAAGTTAATTTCTGAAACTGTTGGAAGCACCCCTTAGGTTTTGATAACTACTACATTTGCAAGCTGCTTAGAATTAGGGTGGATGAGAGCTTACAGGAAAGCTTCAAAGGCGCGCGCGTGTGCGCGCGCACGTACTCTCTCTCTCTCTCTCTCTCTAAGTCTCTGTGTGTTCAGAAATCCCTTCTTCTGCTTTGGATCTGTTAAACTCCTGCTTAGCCGTAGTCTTATAGCTTGCTGTGTACAGGTGAGCTTCTCTATGTGAAGTGTGTTTTGTTTTATGGTAATTTTAAGAAATTTAGTATATAATAAGTTATGCACATTTTATTTTATTTGGCCTTGCTTCTGTTACTAGTTGAGGAGAATGAAAATCTATTTATAAAATAAAGCTTGTCTTTTTCCCAGATGTAAGTATTTTAACCTAGAGTTGTGTTGAATACTTAATTTGGCTGAATGGCAAATGACAACAGTTAAATTCATAATTTGTTCAGAGCTGACATGATCATAGAAGGGATTTCTGGAGAACAATAACCAATCTGAAATTTGTATGGATCAAAGATATTTAATGAAGTTGTATGTGATTTTAGGAGATATTCCTCCTCTCAAGAAATTTGGAGATGGCAGCGTTGACATTCTGCTTTTAGTTCATCCTCACAAGATATGAACAAGTCCCAAATAAGACTTTCTTGAAAGACTCATCTCCTAAATTGAACTAAATTACTAAAAATGAGAATTTTTTTTTTTTTTTTTTTTTTTAAGGGAGAGAAGGGGGTGGAGGGGGAGAGGGAAAGAGAGAGAATCTCAAGCAGGCTCCACACCTAGGGTGGAGCCCGACATGGGGCTTTATCTCATGACCCTGAGATCATGACCTGAGCTGAAATTAAGAGTCAGATGCCTAACCAGTGGAGCCATCTGGGTACCCCTAAAAATGAGAATTCCTTTTTTAAAAATTTTATTTATTTGTCAGAGGGAGAGAGGGAGCCTCACACGTGAGAGAGAGCTAGTGCACAAGCAGAGGGAGTGGCAGGCAGAGGGAAAAGCAGGCTCCCCACTGAACAAGGAGCCCAGTGCAGGACTCGATCCCAGACCTGAGCCAAAGGCAGATGCTTAACCGACTGAGCCACCCAGGCATCCCCAAAATGAGAATTCTTTAATATCATTTTGCTTCTTTATTTTTAATTCAGGTGTACCAATTTTATGAAAATTATAATCATGAAAAAATTTAATGTTTATTCCTTTTTAAAATCTAATTTAATTTTTAAAATTACATTCGTTGACTCAAAAGGGATGTAATGTTCTTCCAAAAGTTATCCCAGTCTCTTAATATTTACATTGTTTATTTCCCTATATATTTAACTGTTTTTTTAGGATAAATCAGGAGCTTTTCTATTCATCCTTAATTATTACATGTTTTGTTTGTGCAATAGCAATCATTTATTTATATGGTGATTGATAATATTTCAACTTATATACTTACAAAACATCTATTTGCACTGTAATTACATTTAGAATGCTTTCCTATTTGGTGAAAAATACTAAGTATTAATAGTAAATACAAGGACATGCCTTGTTTGTAAATCTGATGTTGTTATTCTGGTTGGAAATGTGGTAACCTACGTGATCACTGATCATGACAAGTTCAGGAATGCAAGAAATGACATCAAAGTAGGCACTGGCTGTTAGGCTGAGGCCAAAGCCAGATCATGCATTTGACTAAATACTGGAGCAAAAGCCTCCCCTTTGCATTTCCAGTTAGGGATGGAATTTGGGCTGAATTGAGCTTACTGGATAGAAGCATATTAGGAAAGTATTGCTGTGGTAGAAGTGTATTTCTGTTCTTTACGGAGAGGGAGATGGTTAAGAAAGTTGCAATGTACATATGGGTTGATGTTGAGTAAATGGTAAATAATAATGGCCTGTGATGGGGACCTCATCTTTTTTGAGAAATTGCCTTTTTAATTATTCTTACATAGATTTGATGGAAACCATATTTAAACTTTTGGAGTATTTACATGGGACAGAGGATAGTATAAAGCAGAGGTCAGCAAACTTTTTCTGTAAAGGCAGTAAAATATTTTATACTTTGTGAGACATTTATGGTCTCTGTCACTACTACTCTGCTGCTGTATAGACAAAGCAGCCATAGATAATATATAAATGAATGGGTGTGGCTGTGTCCCAATAAAACTTTATTTATAAAAACAGGTTGTAGGCTGGATTTGTCTATGTACTGTAGTTTACGCGGACCCTTGGCATAAGTATATCCTCATAAGAAACTGCTGCATTCTCGCAAAAGAAAGTAGCTTAATTTTGATAACGCAGGGTCAGCTTAAAGTCACTAGGGATTTGGATGGTCTAGTTAAGTCGCCTAGCTTCTCCTGTCCTGCCTCTGATTGTCTAAATGCAGCTTGACTACTTATAGATAGAAAAGCTGGTTTATTTATTTCCTCCAGGAGTGGAGGCTTAGTGTGGTTGTCAGTTTTTAAGTTCCAGTGTCATGGAAGAAAACCTTTTTTGGCTTAAAAAGGGCAACTTTAGGGGCCCCTGGTTGGCTCAGTCAGTTAAGCGTCTGCCTTTGACTCAGGTCATGATCTTGGGGTCTTGGGATCAAGCCCCTCTGCCCCTCCCCCCTGCTCATGCTCTCTCTCTCAAATAAATAAAGATCTTTAAAAAAAATAAAAAAGGCAGACTTTAGTGTAGTAGCCAACTCTGGTAACTAAATTAAAAAAGAAAAGCAAGGACTTTTTTCATTGAAAAATGAGGCTAGGGGCGCCCTGGGTGGCTCAGCCATTAAGTGTCCGCCTTTGGCTCAGGTCATGATCCCAGGGCCCTGGGATCGAGCCCCGCATCGGGCTCCCTGCTCAGTGGGAAGCCTGCTTCTCCCTCTCCCACTCCCCCTGTTTGTGTTCCCTCTCTCACTGTGTCTCTCTCTGTCAAATAAATAAATAAAATCTAAAAAAAAAAAAAAAAGGCTAGCGTTTAGGCTGCACTGGTAAAAAATATATATGTATAAAGTTGTGTTTCAGTTTCGCTGAGCTCTTGGAATGTGTGTTATTACTGTTCTGTAGATTAAGGCCAGGATACAGAAGAGTTACTACTGTCACATATAAAGTAGAATTCAGTAACATATACCTTGTGTATATGGAGGTTACATTGTTGGCAACCTCAGCTATCCAGAATGCATCTTAGCACCTGAAGTAAGGCTCTTGACCAACTACAATAAATATCAGAAGTCATTCACCGAAGAGTATACATTTTACTCAAGGGGCGTTTCTTAAGCTATCACAACCTATTTGCTCATCTTAGAATTAGTTCACTGTGCATATCACACAGCAGATCAGAAGCTGCAAATTTGAGTTGGGGTTCAGGGGCTGTTGGAGGAGATATAATAATAATAACAAGATTTGCTAGCTAACTCCTTGGCATTAAGAAGTAGATTGAAAAACTAAAATGTAGACATGAGAGCTCTTTAAATCATAGTAGTTTGGGGCCTTTATTATAAGGACCTATTGTGCCGTTTATAGAATAGTCTATTAATTGATGTAATCATGCCTCTAAGTATCAATCAAAGCTGACTTTTTTTCTGTTTAAGAAGGCAGATAAGTATATATTTTAGAAATATTTTATGACTAAAAAATTTAAAAGTACCTTGACACTCAGAGGGACAGATTTTTTAGTTACATGAAAAATTCACTTGGGGAACAGCTTATTCCCAGATACTTTTAGGAATTAGCTTTCTGATATTTTTTATCCTTCAAATTTTTCTGTCCTGGTTATTGTTATCTTTGGGCAGTGATGCTTTTAGAAGTTGGGTTAAGTCAGAAGATGTCCATTTTTGGGGCGCCTGGGTGGCTCAGTCGTTAAGCATCTGCCTTCGGCTCAGGTCATGATCCCAGGGTCCTGGGATCGAGTCCCACATCAGGCTCCCTGCTCTGTGGGAAGCCTGCTTCTCCCTCTCCCACTCCCGCTGCTTGTGTTCCTGCTCTCGCTATCTCTCTCTCTCTGTCAAATAAATAAATAAAATCTTAAAAAAAAAAAAGATGTCCATTTTTCTTTCTTTTTAATTTATTTGGACTTCTGCTTTCCCGAGTAAAGGTCTTTCTTATTAAGTATTCTGGTAGCACTCTCCTTCCCAGAGGAACCCAGGTAGGTAGAGTTTGTGTTGTTGTTCCACTGCGTACACCCCGTGTAGAGAAGACAGTGGCAAAGTCGTAGCTGACACTAGCCTCCTTTTATGGTAAGAACCAAACCAACGGACTTGCCAAATCTGTACTTTGCTGTATACAAACAGGCCTGTTTTGTGATGGGAGCAGCTTCTTTCCAGGCCTTTTGGGACTCTATAAACAATGACAACATTTTAAAGGGATGTTTGGCTTTTGGAGCATCCATCTTATTTAAATTGCTTTTTAAAAGCCCCCATCCCCCACCCCAGCTCCAGATTTGTTAAAAAGCAGGAGCTTTTCATTTCAAACACAAAGTGGTAGTTTGATTTATTTGTATATACCTGTGTGTGTATATATATGTATTTATTAAGAAGAGTGTCTCATTGACTTTTTATATGGATCACAGAAGCTTTTGGTCTCTTCTGATTGTGTGTTGCTCATTTTTTTGGGTAGACTTAAAACTTTAGATTTTTGGGGCCAAGTCTGATTAGCTATAGTGGGTTAAAATGTAAGACTGATGGCTCTTTTTCTCTTTTTATTACCAGAAACTGGTTGCTCAAATGAAGCAGGATCCACAGGTAAAATACTGCTTTTATTCATTTAATTTTTAAAATAATTTAAAATAACCATAAGATACTAAAATACAGACCAGGACTTAAGTTTTAGAAACTATCTCATCTCTAACAGCAATTATTTTTAGCAGATTGGTCTTCATGTTATAAGGGTTTAGAAAAATTCAGTCATTCTATTATAGTGTAGCTATCATTTTATCTTTGTTTCTGTTATTTTACTTTTATGTTCATTTCTTTGAGTATTTTGGGGGAGAAATTGAGTTAATAGTTTTCATGTGGCTCAAATTTCATTTCCATAAGCCTGTTTATTCAGAATCAGTTTTTGAGGCTTTCTGTATTCTCCAAATTATTGTATATGGCCCAGAACAATTCTTATCTTCTCATAGCTTATGTACTACAGGTATAGTACAGAACATTTAAATACTTCATTCCACTATGATTAAATAATTTCAGAATAATTTTTAAAGAACTTTTTAAAAAATTTATCTTTGAGAGAGCTCTTAAAGAGGGTTTAAAAGTACCTTGTATAATAATTCAGCAGATGTTACCTTCTCTTTAAATTCTCATAGGCGTTTTTGACTTAGGCATTTTCTTCTCTATCCCTGAAGAGAAATCTTCCTAAAAAGTTATCTTGTCTTTGATGATTACATTTATTGTTCAGGTAGTGTCTCTTTTGTAGCCATTAGACAGTGCGTCACAAGTTTGGAAAGTATCAGACTGTCAGGATTTGTTTACCTATAAATCTGTTCACAGAACACTTAGACCCATTGTATATGTATAAATATATATATATGTATGTATATATATATATATATACACACATACATACACTGTATATATATGTAGTTGTTAAACATACCATACATGCCTCATTGTAAGGTTAAGAAAATAAATTCTTGGATTTAAAGAATGGTACTGAAGCAGATTGATTTTTTTGGAAGTGGGAAATATATTCATTTCTCCAAAAACTTAGCACCCAGTGGCCTAACTAGTGTGTGTTAACACAGTCCATTGATCTGAGGGCTGGGCATTAATGGCCCACACTTAACTCCTGTTTGACAGTCCTACTTCTTTGAGAAGCTCTTCCATTTTTATTTATTTTTTAAAGTGTATTAAAATTTAAATTAGATTTAGGAAACCAAGAGGCAGCAGACCTTAGATTAGTAGACTCTTTTATATTTAATATGGTAACCTACATTGTCAGCAACTGAAATATTATTCGAAAATTTTAGCATTTCTGATAGAGATAGTGGTCATGTAACAGAGCAGTCTTAAAAGAATCTGAGGGGCCAGTAAGTCGTTGGACAATCTTGTGACTGATCTCATTAGTGAAGCCTTATATCAAATATACTTATAAAAAAGACAATGTAGAGTAAACATAAAGGGGAGGATGTGTGCCCCAACTCTGACAGAAGACCAAGCAGGGTGAAATCAAAAGAAATGCATGTGAAACAATGAGGAAAAAGTGATCTTTTATTGGAGTGGTGTTCAGTCTGTTAGTAGGCTGTCCTGCTACATTAAGCATTTGAAAATTTTAATTTTGGATTTTTTCCCCACTTGAGTAAAAAGCAAGCACGCTCAGTGTATCTCATCTAAAATAGTATTCTTTTTTGATTCCCAGAATTTTAGAACTGAGAAAATACCCTGGTAGTCAGTGTGTTAATTTGAATGATGTAGTGTTAAGGCGGTTGCAGCACTGACAGCTTTTCAAATCTAGGCTAAAATAACAAATGTACTTTACTAAATAAGGGAGAGGGCAAGTAGAGAAAACACTCTTATCTTTATTGATAATGCCGTTAAGCATGAAGTGTATGCATACTTACAACTTCCGTTTTCCTGCTTTTGTCTGATTTAGTGGAGCTTTAGGTTTTTTGTCAACTGATGCTTTCTATAAAGAATAACAATATTTCAATAGAAAGGAATAAATACTATTACAGTACAAGATGCTAAAATATAAAACTTCTTGTAATTTGAAACAATCGCAAAGGAACTGCCCCTGTTCCAGTGTTAGGAGCTACATTAGGTGGTGATAATATGACTACAGTTTAATGCATGACAAATTTGATTGGCTAAATGCTTAAGATTGCTTCATCATTTGTAATACAGTATGCATAAAGTCTTCTTGCTACTATTCTGTTAACAAATGAAATATCTTTCTCACAGATATTTTTTCTTTCCAATCAGAATGCTGATTTAAAGAAACAGCTTCATGAACTCCAAGCCAAAATCACAGCTTTGAGTGAGAAACAGGTAGGGGAAATGGGGGGGGGGGCGCATATTTTTAACATTGTGTTCTAAAGATATGTCTGCTCGAGGCTTCTAGGAGAACTGCTATTTTTCCTCATGTGTGAAAATAAGTGTGGGCAGCCAGACTCAGTTTTAATTTTGTTTGAGCTCTGTTTATCTATTTTTATTTTTGGTTGAAATCAGTGTCTAGAGTATCCCATGGGTATATGTTACTGGCAAATACCTAAAAGCAATGTGGCAGGCTGCTGTTAACTGTGTTAATTAAACTCTCTAGTTTACCCATAGGGGAAAGAGGTAAAGAAAGTTAGTGGGAGTGTGTGATGGAGAATCTTGTAGTTGCTGGATGTGTCTTGTTAACCTGTTTTAAAGGCTTGAGATGACATTTAACTTACTGTGGAGAAAATGGTTGTAAATAAATAGCTATAAATGTAGGTCTCCCATTCTGATCATTGTCATTCCTTTATGTTACTCTTTATTAGGTGTAACCTTGTTAGATTTATTTATATAGAGCAAGAGAAGAGCATCTTACTTTTTTCCCAAGGACATCTGGAAAGTAGTCTTTGGAATTTCTTGTATAATGACCTCTACTTCACCAGTTCAGGCAGCTCCTGCCACCAGGTGGAGTGTGACAATTGATAGAACGCTAAGTAAATGTCTGTGGTAACCTGGCAAAGCATGTGTTTTCTTGTTCCTTCCCCACCGCTCTCCCTCTGGTTAAAAGGAGCAGTTTTCTGTCTTGGCATAGGTGAACGTGTGAACCAAAAGCATAAGGTGATTTGCAGTTGATAGTTCCTGCTAATGACATCTTATTGAGGATTTTTGACTAAATAGTTCTCAATAATTGATTTTCATGTGTTTTTTTAAAACTTTTATTTAGTGAAATAATAGTAATGAGAGTAATTTATCCCTGGAGATTTCTGATTGTGTTTGTATTGTGTTTTCTATTGTGTTTTCATTTAAGGGGAGAAATAAATTTTGAGAACTATGTGGAATGCATGCGAGCCGTTAATTGTTCAGAATAGAATCTTTTTCCAAGCTGAGTGAACAACTGCTTTTTTTCTCCCCAGTCCTGTTCTTATGCTTCTGCATTCCCCCATCTTGTCTTCTCTAGAGACAGGAGATATTTTAGATTAGGGAATTGCCAAAATAAAATTGGGAGGAGGTAGCATGGTGGAGAACAATTTGTAAGGAAAAATATAAACAGAGTTCTTTAGTATGTATTTGGCTCTGAAAGTGATTCAGTTCTCTAAAGTCAAAATGATGTGTGTTAGTGAAAGTGTTCTAGCTTTAGAATTCTGTTAGCGCTGAGCCTCCTTATAGTTTCAGGGTTAGTTTGACAAGATGCCAATGAATGAGTCACTTTTGCTGAAAAATTCACGTGTTCCAGCAGGGAAAGAAGGTGAGAACTGATTAGTGGAGTTAGGGGGTTGGGGATGCTGTCACAAAGTTAAGACAATCTAAAGCTAGATTTGGAGAAAATGGGGCAATTGAAAAAATTTACATTTATTTGAAATTTTTGTGAGAACTGATGTAAAGATTTGGTTTATTTCTATAACTTTTTATTCTTTAATTTGTATTTTCTACCAGGGACCTCGCTTAATAGAAAATTGCAACTGTTTATGTTTATGTTCAGTAAGACAGTTCATCAAGTGGTAAACTCTCTCATCTGAACTAAGTTTGGATTTTAGAAACTAGAATTTTTAAAAATGGGCCTGGCATCAGGAAAACCTTAGCTATACAAAGTAATAAAAGTAAAGAGAATGGAGTCAGAAACTGAAATGCAACCTTGAAATTTTTAAAATATTTGCTTAACTGTTAAAAACAACCTTTTTGATAGAACAGAAAATATATTTTTAGGTAGGCTAGTACTTGAAGAAAGCACAGCTATAAAGTTCAAAAGCTGGGCCTTCCTCAGACTTTTATTTCCAACATAAAACATTGATACTCAGTTTAAAATAGTTTTATTTTACAACAAACGCCTAATGCTGACTGCCTAGCATTTTGTTTTTCCTTCTCAAAAGATCTACTTAGCCTCTGGCAAAACACTGATTTTCCTTTTACTTTAATAACTAAAATCTGAATTATCTTACATGACAAATATTTTTATTTAACATTAATTTTTTTGGTTGTGGGAAAAATGCTAAATACAGCAAAGTACAAAGAATGTCATATTCCAGAATTAACAACTACTAATCCTTTATCATTATTTGTTTCTATTCTTTTTATACTATGTACACTTTTCTGTCGTCATTTTTTCTATATCCACTTGAAAATTCATACAAGTAATAGATGCATACATTCTCTTTTTTTGCTTTATTAAAAAAACAAAACATTGTAGATAGTCATTAATTCTTACAATGGGCACTTACTAGTTCTTATTTGTTATTACTACCTCAATATTTGGTACTTAATCGGTTTCTTTGTCAAGACTAATTATGAAATGTTATGCTCCATTTGGGAAAATATGGTCTTTAATGAGCATCTTTCATGGCTAAAACTCAGTGAATTTCATTGAATTCTTGGTTAGAAGGTTCCAGTGTTTTCAAACTGTAACTTGAGATTTTTTAATAAACTCCCCATTGCAGATTTTGAAGTCAGCTCCTTGACCCAGAGGGCTTTAATTTGTGGTTGACAGTTTTAACTTGGGAAATCCCCAGACTTGATTGGTTAAACAAATTATGTGTTATGGAGCCATTAAAAATCATGGTTTCAAAAATATTTTAATCATATAGTGTGCTCATGATAAAGCAAGTGAAAAAACATGTGCAGCTTTATATGCATTATAATCTCACTTTTAAGTGTGTCATATGTATATATATATGTAGGCATGTACATACAGATAGAAACAGTGTCACTATGAAATGTGGGAAGGTGATGAATTTACAGGTGGTTTATTTTTTCTTTAAGGTCTTATGTATACTTACTTTAATCTGTATAATAAATATGTTTCCTTTTTATACCCAGAAATAGACAAGAAACATTATTTAAAAAATTTTTAACACCAAACTTTTGTCTGTTCCAGGGAGCGTTAGCATTTAAATATCCAGTGACATTCTCCTCTTGGTATATGAACCACTATAATCAGAGAATCCATCTATTTTAATACTGAAATGTGGAAGCAACTATTAATTTCTTTAACAGGGTTCATTCTTATTCTGCACCCCTCCCTCCTCATTTTGGCATGATATGTGGTCTTTTGCTTGTCAGAATAGAGGTTAGATAATTTTTTAAAATAGTCATCTTGCTTTTTATGCTTTTTAAACTGAAAGTATTATGAACATCTTACATTTTTTAGTGTTTTTTAAAAATACTATTTTTATAAGTTCAAATATTTAGTGGTCTGGCTAGATTATAATTGGTTAGTCCTCTAATATTTGATAATAGGATGTTTCCAGTTTTTTGCTATTATAAATATCACTATGATAGAAATACATGTGTGAATTTGTTTCTCTCTGATTGCCTTAGGATACATTCTTAGGTGTGAGATTACTGGGTGTATTGGTCAGCTATTGCTGTAATAGTTCTGCAAAACAAACCGGTGTTTTATTGAGTGACTTACAACGTTTATTTTCACACTGGGTCTGTACATCACCTGGGGTTTTCCTGATCTAGGCTGGACACATCTGCTTTCCTGATCTAGGCCCAGACACATCTACTTCAGTTTGTGGGTTGGCTAGCCCTGCCTCCAGGCTACAGGTTGGGTTAGATCTGCTCTGTACCTGTTCACTCTGAGGCCTACCATGAAGAGGCAGCAGCTACCTGGGGCATACCCATTTCATCAGAATACCAGAAGCAGACCAAACTACCAAAATACATTTTAAGCCTCTGCTGGCATCAGGTCTTTTAATATCTCATTAGCCAAAACAAATCATGTGGCTAAGCCCTGCAAAGTCACATGACAAAGGGTGTGGATGTATAATTTTATAATAGAATATAAAGAATTGAGAACAATAATCCATCTATCTTACTTGGTTAAAGTTAGTATAAAAGAACTTAAGTATATGTATTTTTTAAAATACTACTTATTTCCAAATAGCCTCCAGAAAATGCTGTATCAACTTAACAGCATATATGACAGTACCTAGTTTTTCCCAGGAGATACCCTGTGGGGAAAAAAAGCATTTTGCTAATGTGGAAGATGGGTTAATTGGTATCTGATGCTTATCTGGAAGTGTATTTTTCAAGCTGTTTGTCCATGGTACAGATATTCCATTGTATTCCTTAGAAACATTTCAGTTTTAGGTTTTATTTTTCTTTTATCCTTTCCCCTATTTTTCTTATTCCTTTTTTAGGGAGGTAGACATCTCCACAGTCTTTGGTCCTTGCTGCTGGTTTGCTTTTCCAGCCCTGTGTTTAAAATGATAGTCTCTATTCCTTACAGACTGCTTAACCTAATACAAGATGAAATACAGTTGCCATTTATGAAACCATTCTCATTTTAAATTTGAACATATTTTACTAAAATAGATTTGAAGCCTTTGGGAGAGAAGTTTCTGTTCCTGTCATAACTAACTATGTTTCTGATGCATAGAACAACATTATTTAAGCTAAGTAGGTGACTTGAACAATGGACTGTGGGTGGGGGAGGGGAAACTGGAGTTTGATTCTATTCCTGATTCTGTAACAGACTTTTTCATAGATTTTGAGTTAATAATTTAATATGTCTATTTCCTTATTTATGGAATGTTTGAATAATGCCTTTTAGGAGTTATGAACATGTATCTATTGAATGCACTGAATGTTTTTGAAGGTGAGTTCTAATTAAATGGAATAGGTTAGCTTTAGTCATATGGTTAACTTCATCTCATATGGAGCACCTTCATCTTACATGTCAAGTACTACTTTTTTTTTTTCCAAGTACTACTTTTTTTTAAGGACTTAGAACATTTAATGCAGTCATGAGTAAGTAATCACTGTAATACATAAACTGGGACGTGGACTGTGACTTAGCCATGATTATATATATAATTAATCAGTATCTGATTTGAGACTAGAATCCAGAT